TTTTTAATCTACTCTTCCTATCCTTAATATATGACCTAATTAGAGAGTTAGTGTTGGTCCTATATGTAAGATTTATTTCATATATTTATCAATTTTTTCAAAATTAACTCTTGATATTCCCACAATAATAATATGAGAGAGATAGATAGAATTAAGGGAAAGGCTTGTGGTTTTTATTTTTTATTTTTTTAAAGTATATCATATTAACTAATTTAAACTAACATTCTCAGTTTACTCAAATTAATTAATTAGGTCTCATATGAGAAGAGGAAGATTACTACATAAAGCCTTTCAGATGATTTACAAGCCGCGTTTGCAACATGTAACTCATTTGTGTAGACAAGATTTTGCCAATTGAATTATATTCTCTTTCGCAACGTCCCAGAATTTTCAATAAAACAACAAGCATTAAAACCATTAGGATATGGTACTCCATCTGAATTTTGTGCGGCTCGTCCAACACCTTCCCACCCCCGTGAACATTTTGTATTATTGAATGGGTTTGGTCTAATTTTGCTCAGGTTTTTTTTCATAGGAGTCGTGTGTATTCAATAATTTGGCTGGATCCATATTGCCCCAAAATTGTTAAAACAAAAAAAATAAGGAAGCCAAAATACTTAGTTGACGGTTAACATTTTTAATGGTTAAGGGCAGTGTTGCCCTTTTTTTTTTTTTGGCTTTTTAATACTCCTCCGGTCCTAAACATACAACCCTTATACTAATGTATATAAGGGTCGTATATTTAGAATCGAAGGATTACTTTCATCTTCTGAGATAATATTAATCCAACAAAAATTTCTGATACCCACAACTGCAACCAGAAAACTTCCTGAACAAAATTGGACTTTAAACCATATAGAATTCACATAGGACCCAAGACACAGCATTATCATCTGAATATATCAATATATTGCTTTAAAATGATCAACAGGCAACTCCTTTAAACTTTCTAGGCCTAAACATCATTTTCCCAGGCCATCCTTCGGCTTTTATATAACTACTACCCTTGGTTTTTAACCAGATTATGGAAGCCAAGAATTGTTTGCCTCCCTGTCCCCCATTTTTAATCCAAGAAATTTATAGCCTTATAAGCCCAAAAACCTTATTCATAATCATACAAGGGTTTCTGATATTTCCCCCCGCCCCCTTCTGCATCACAATTCAAATGGCCCATTTCATGTTTGTAAGTTAAACAAATTGGTCTCCTATCGATCAATACTGTTTCTGATCTCACCAGTTTATTGTTTGTTCTACTCTAAGTGCTCATATCCCGCCATATCTAATCTGCATACAATCCTCAAATCAAACAGACATGATCAGAATAAATATTACCCTATACTTGTTTTATGATATCATTACAATGTGGGGAAAAAGTAGCCAGAACCTGAAAGGTTTGGAAAAGCTGGCCTTATTGCATCACAAATCCTAACTATTACAAAGATAGTAGGAGCAGTTTTCAAGGCAGCCAAAACACAGCCCCCAAACACCAATGCACAAACCTCTGTTTTTCCCCTGAGGATCAAAGCAGTCCAGAGCCCTCATATAATCATATTGCAAAAAAATACACTAGGGACACAGAAAACACTACAATATAAATAATGGCATGGACAAATAAAAACATTCGGTCCCCATCATTTGCAATGGCCTGAGGAAATTAGCATGTGAGAATAGAGCTATCAATAGGTGACAAATTCAGCTAGCCGCTGTGGTTGCTTCCTTTTTCTCACAGATTGTCTTGGTGCAGCATTTCTCTCCCCATCTGGTTGTTCCACCTTCCCTTCTGGCAGAGCCTGCCTAATAGACCCTATTTGCCATTGGGGGAAAAAAAACATGATTTCCTCTATACCACAAATAACTTCAACAGCATCCTCAGATTTCAATGGAAAACACGTGTCCTTTCCTTTTTTAAGAAATCTTAAAGCACCAAAAAAAAAAAAAGGGAACAACATCAACAGCTTAGCGCTTATGAAGGTTTATTCATAGACCAATGCACTATCCATTTATCACCTTGAGTAGGCTATTCGTAACAAACAGAGACCACGAGGCGCTTGAATGCCAATACCTGTGTCCGAAGGTCCATTCCGATTGTCACCAAAGTTTGATGGCAACGAGTTTGCTATGCGGTTCTGGCTCTTAGTTTCCATTGTCAGCATCTTCATGGATTTTCCGAAAATAATCAGTCTGAAATTAGGAGGAAATGTAAAAGATATAAGCTGTCCTGGGCACTCCATTATCTTGAACAAAACAAAGTTCAATTACTGCTCAACTTTCTATCATAATTGTTCTGCTCAGGATAATGCAATGATCCATCAAGAGGGCTGTCAGAATTAAAACTGTGATGACTCTACCTCGCTTGTTGCTGAATTATAAACCTTCTCCTCAAATCTTACGGCAATTTTATGAAGTTCAGCTAATCCCTCTTGGCTAGAGACAGGAAGATGTCTTCTTAATACTTCCGTTCTATAAGATGAATAACAACAGTTTAATTACTGCAAAAAGCATATATCATTAAACAGTCCTAAAAATAGCAAGCATGACCATAATACTTTTCAAGTCCTTCATAGTGTCCGAGAGATACGCACAGAATTTGGATTTTAAGTTAGAATATGAATGATGAATCATGATATTATCAGATGCAATTATTCCTGGTTTCTAGGTGCATTTTCATACACCAAAAAAAAAAAACAAACAACAAACAACAACAAAAGCAGCAGCAATAGAATGGGCTCATTAAATTTAGTTCTATGCACGGATACCATAAAAATGAATTTCCTGATCCAAATGGGTTCTCTCTTTCGCATCCTAAATGCTCTCTCCACAAAACAAAAGTTTAACAATAAGAAATCCTCTAACTGCACCAAACAAAAAACGAAATATATTTGAAAAACACATACTTATATGTTAAGAAATCTGTGCAAGTATCCTTTTTTCTTCAGGGGTGCCAAAGACCATAAACAAATTAAAAATAAGTTCAAACTAACATAAAGTTCTTCATAAACACAATTCAATAATCATAAGAAAGATGTCTGTCTTAAAAATTCAGCATCAACACCAACCATTCGGAGGCTTGCCAATATAAATAGCGGAAAAGTGCATTTTTTCTCCCTTCCCTTAAAATATCTCAAATGAATAAACCAGAACTTCACAAAATTATAGAAATATACCCAAAAATATATAGTAAAATTCAAAGCAACAGTGCAATGCAACATCAAGTGATTGACAGATAAGGCATACTTGTCCGTTAAACCCAATCAACTGACCAATAAATGTATAATGCTGTCCTATAAAACACATGCATAGACCTGGACTAAATTATTGAAGAATGACTACACAGAAAGATCGTTGAGTGAAGAACATTTTATAGTCAAAAGATAATGATTTGGTCCAATCATAGTATTTCAACTATAAAACAGAATTTTGAGCATTAATTTTAAGTTGGTTATCAATTTAGTTCCAAGAGAGAAAAAGAGAACTCTTAACAAAGCATGATGCATGATTTCTTTCCGCATCGTGCAATACATCAACAAAGTAAAACAACATAGAAATTTATACATTTCATTGACACTTCTTCTGCGACTTTCAGGTAGCGCTTGAGTCCTCCAATAATCTGTAAAGAATTATCCACCTTGAGTATGTTTCCAATTACTCATATTCACAAATTTAGATAGAGGTGTCAATAACAGATTCACTATAGATCTAATTTAGCGATAATATATCAAATCAAAGATGTGATATAATTATTATAACAGAAAAGCACTTCCATCGAAGACAAAATTACAATGCAAATGCACAAATTTTGGGTGGTATTCCAATTATATGCACAAGGTATTTGTTTGAGATTATAATTAAAGGAAAAAATATCATAAACCTTATTGAACATTTTATATTTGATACCAAATGTTAAAAAAGGGCTGCAAGTTGAATGTTTTCTTGGTGCAAAACAATAACTGAATCGCTAATAATACCGTCAGTGTAAACCCCGTACATTCATCCAATACAATGGGTTCAGTGCTTTTAATGATTAGAAACTTCCAAAAGCTAGATTGGGCTACTCATTGATCCGATGGCATAACATTGACCTAGATGGTCTGGGACTTACAGCCAATAAACAACATCATTGAAGATATTTCCTGTAAATAATCCTCCTGAAATTAGGAAATATAAAATTAGCACCACAGCAATCTTGACAAGTTCAAAGAAGTGGGCCCACCACTAAGAATTGACCCTGTTAAAAAATGTTTCAAATTTGGAGGTTATGGAAACCTAAGGGGTAAGAATCCATTCATGATTTACCCATCTGCATAGATGACTATAAATTATTAAAATAACAGAGATTAGACATTATTGATGTACCTGGCTTGCTGCACCAGCATAAGTCTTATGCTCAATACTTTGAGCAATTTTTTGAACTTCAACTAATTCATCGTCATCACCATGAGACTGATGTATCATTAATTTCCCCATTCTACAAAATGAAGAATTGTTTTACAATGACAATGCATCAAGTAGCTGAGGATAATATACAATGATCAACTGAAAAAATGATATCAGTATGTGAGGGTCCAGCCCCTCTGTTTATGTTTTGAAAAGAAGTGCAAAGAAAGCAAATTATCATTTGGAGTAGACTGTCGAAGACTAAAGTTATCATCCGGGCACCTGACAATTATAAACTTCCTTCTCCCAAATCCACCAAAAAGAAGAAAGGGGGGGGGGGGGACCAGAACTGTTCAAAATTCTTACTTCATGCCAAAGAATAGACCTATAATAGAAGCAGTTCATTCCAAATATTATGAGCTACAGTTGGGGGAAAAAACAAATATCAGCAGCTTCCAAAGTCATATCAATAATTTATATCGCCCAAAAAAGTTCCTGCACCCCAGCTAAAGTTATAGGTAAGGTTAAGATAACACAGTCTGCTAAAACTCTTGAGGGGCACTCACAAACAACATTGAAAAGTTGAAATATAAATGTCCAGCATGGACTATAAACGGAAGACACAAGCTTGCCAAAAGAAATTGAGTATGTCAAGTAATATAGTTTCCTGAGCTGGCAAATAGAAGAAGAATCAGCAGTTCAATAAGTCAGCAAATCATATACAATGCCCACTATGGCTCCTTTACCAAGGATATCATAGATTTTTTCTAATGAAACAGATTTAATCTTCTATGACAAACAAGGGGAACGTTATGAGACAGTATTGATAGTTCATAGAACTGAAAGCACAAAGCAGATAAGCATAATATAGATAATCTAATCAATTACATAAAAACTTTAGACCTACATTTCATTGACTTTTATTTGGCGAGTATGAGGCAGGAATTCAGCCCTCCAGTCATTTGTATCCATAGCGGGGCTCTACGCCTTGGGGGGGTCTTCTTCTACAACGACCACGCTGCGAGTTGACGAGTGATCGACCGCTGATGGGAGAGGGAAACGCAAGGCAAAGGTGGCTCTGTATTAGTATTAGACTTCGACGCGACCAACACGAAAGAAATCTTTTCCAGCATATTCCGGGTTTCGCGTTGAAATTAACGATGGTTTCGGACTGTCTGGTTTTGATCGGAGTAATTCTGTAACATGTACTTGAAGTTTGATTAGTAATTCATCGAAAAATATTGATTAATAAATTAATGTAAGGAATAAAAGTATTAAAATACCCTCAAAAATATTAAAAGATAAATTAGAGTAGATAAATTTTAAAATCTTAAATTAGACCCCTCGTATTATTTTGAAATTTTAAAATATTATAAAACGATAATACTGTTCGTATTCTTAATAATTACTTTCATACAGCAGTTGATTATTTTAGTTTAATTATTAATTACTTTTGTTTTTAAAATTTTGATGATTATTTTTATATAGCTATTAATTACACAAAAGCAATAAATAACTAAACAAAAAATTGTCATTATAGATCTCTAACCACACTTTATACATTTTTTGAATTTTTATATAAAAGTAGTCAATAACGAAATTAGAAAATTTTAAAAATTAAAAAAGTCAATCACAAGACTAAAAGAGTCAGTAGTTAAACGAAAGTAATCATTAGAGTTTTAAAAACAAATATAATAAAAAAAAGTTAGTCAATAAATAAGAACAGTCACCAGAGTTCTATTGGCCGTTAGTATATCCACTAGTACCAGAGTACCAGTGCCTGAAAATGTTGATGTGGTAATATTTAAAGAGAAAATAGTAAAAAATATTTGTGTAACTTCACAATATTTGAAAATTTTATTAGAATTTTAAAATTCACCTGATTTGTCCTTTAACAATTTCTAGAATGTTTTATTATCTTTTTTTCTCAATTTAAATTAAACAAATTAACTATATTATTTACTGTTCAATGCTTATTCCGTACTTCTTGTCATGAAATAGCAATTATTATTGCTACTGCTTTTTTATTTTTTTTTACCAGCAATTATTATTGTTACTGCTACTATTACTATATATGAATACGTGCATATTTGTTTAAGAAATCAAATATTTATGTATTGCTAAATTAAACTTATTAATTTCTAAACCTGTCTAGCGATTAAATAACAAAATTTTAATTTTATTACAAAAGTTTTGTCGTGATTGTAAAATTGAACTTATTCATTTCTAAATATACATTATATTGTGATTGAATAAAAATAAAGTTTATTAAAAATTATAAATTTAATGCAAAAGTTTTGTTGTGAATAGTTAATAGGTACTTATGAATTGGTAATTTAAGTTTGTTAAATTCTAAGTATGCATTATGATTGGATAACAATAAAGATTTATTGAAGAGTGCAACCTTATTATAAAAGTTTTGTTGTGAAAAAACTGATGGCAATTTGCGGATTGATAAGCTAAACTTGTTAATTTCTAAGTTACTACCTCCGATCCTAATTATAAGAGCCAGTTAACTAATTTGAGGAGATTAAAGAAGTAAGTTGAGTTAATTATTTATCCTAAATAGGTGCTGTCTTTTCTAAAATATCATTACTAATAAAGTTTATTGACTAGAACTATCATTGTTAGAATGGCTACTTTAGAAAAAAAAATATAAATATGAGAGACAATGTAGATTGGGGTCTTATATTTAGAATCAAAATAAAAGTCAAACAGGATCTTATATTAAGGACCGGAAGTAGTACAACAAATTCAATTCAGTAATTCGCATGTCGTGATTAACTATTCATAGAAAAAGTTTTATAGTCAAGTTGTCATCATTGTCAGTGCTCCAATAACAATTGATAGAACTATGGCCATTGTTGTTGAAACTCCAGCCATTGACAAAGGTCGCTTTGGGGAAAAAACAGAGAGAGATATGGCTTTTAAAAAAAAAGAGGGGCAATATAGTAAAATGCCTCATATTTACAAATCCCAAATTCGGTTTATGACCCAATTAGGGATTTGTTGAATTTAACAACCTAACTTATGATCTTCTTATTTAAGATGGCTTTAAATGAGATTTTCCCTTAGAGTGTATTTGGTATGAGGAAAATTAAAAAAAAAAAAAAAGGAAGGGAGAGAAAATTTTAATGAGCTCAATTTAGAAAAAATAAAAAAATAAGTTAAAATTGTTTAATTAATTTTTATTATTCTTTTATATTACAACTTTTCTCAGTTATAATTTTATAATCTCATTTTTTTTTAATTTTTCAAATCGAGCTCATTAAAATTTGTTCTCCCTTCCCCTTCCTTTTATTTCCCTCTTACCAAATATAGGGTTGATAATAGTTTTGATACTTGCAAGGAGTCAATCATTTATGAGATCTCATACTCAAATTCATGCAAATCCAGAACAACTATAATTAAAACTTGATTTGAATGTGGATTACACTACAACGACATAATTGCACTTAGGCTTAACAAACATTTGGTCTGCACAATTATCACCAATAGATGACAAATTCAGATAGCCACTGTGGTTGTTTCCTCCTCTTCTTCCTTCAAGCACCTGAGCCTCCATAACAGACCCTATTCACCATTCATGAGTAAGTGCATCATGTCCTTTCCAAACAATCTTAAAGCAAGCATCCCAAAAATAAAAACAACGACAAAAATAGAAATCAGCTAAGTGCTTATGGAGTTTAATTCAGAGATCAAAGTATGAAAGTATAACATATCAGTATATTAGCTTGCATAGGGTACTTGCAACAAATAGAATGCAAGAAGATTTTGAATATAATCACCTGTATCTGAATTCTCACCACAGTTTGATTGAATGGAGTTTGTTTTAGTGTTAGGGCCTCTCGTTCCTACTTTCAGTAGCTCTAAGGATATTTTCCGTAGATAATCATACTGAAATTAGGAAAAATAATGTAAAAGATGTAAGGGCCTTCTTTTTAATTTAATACAATTAAGCATGCACACACAAACATGTTGTTGTTGGGTTTGAATTCGGGATTTCATCCAAATATGATAGGTGGTGGTGTTGTTAGGACAACTAGCCATTGACCATACAAGGATATGTTTGGTTCAAAAAAAAGATGGAAATGGATGAAATGGAATACTAATAATCACAGATGTTTGGTACAACATTAAGAACGTTGGGATGAAATTTATTTTTTTAGATTTGATTAAATAAAAGTAAAAATGAATGGACAAGAATACCCTACGCAATGAAAAGAAAGAAGGAAAAGTTGAAATGGTCAATCAACCCATAAAGGTGGGAATCATCATTAATTGGTTTCTAAGTGGGTGCGTTGATTCCATGAAAGTAAGGAACCATGATTTCAGGATAAAATGCGGCCAAACATGCAAGATGTGAGAATACAATTAAGATTATTGAGAATCCTAATAAAAGGGTCATGAGATTTCACCGCACTCCATTAACGTTGAACAAAGCAAAATTCAATGAATGTTCCAACTTTTTGTTTAAAACTATGATGACTGTACCAGGATTGTTGCAGTAGTATAGTCTCCTCCTCAAATCTCACAGCATTTCTATAAGCTTCATCTAATTCATCTTCGGCAAAGGGAGGAACAAGTCTGCCAAATGTGCACATTCTATGAGAAGTCATAACATACCCCAGTTTAGTTACTTAAAAGTACAAGATATTAAAAGGCATATCATTAAACATTCCAAAAAAAAATATTAAGCATGATCATAAGATAATACTACCTCCTTTTCCCATAATGGAAGATCTAGTTTTTAATTCATTTTAAAATACAAACTTAGATCTTATATTAAAGACGGGAAAGAATGCATTTCAGTCCGTTCAAATTTTTCGAAGTATGAAGTATCATGGAAAGTCATATAATAGGCCGACCGTGGTTCGACGACTCTCAGGCTGTAATCGAGCCCTCCAGCAATCTGTAAAGCATCATCCCACCTGAGGTATTAATAACAGAGTATTGAAAATGATGAAAAATACGATAAAACTTGCCAAACACACACACTCTCTCTCTATATATATATATGAGTATATATATATATATAAAACACAGCTACAAACTGAATATTCTGTCAGAGAAAGACAATAGCGGAATCATAGGCTTCAAGAATTCAGAGGTTCCAAATGCTAGAAGGGTTAATAACCGAATCTGGAGACATGAAGTTGACCTCAGTGTTTTGGGACTTACTATCAGTTAAACGCAGGGTTGAAGATATTTTCTGTACATAATCTTCCTGTAATTAGGAAGTACTGTATATAGGAACATTAATATACCAGCAGTTAATGGCACTGTAATAGGAGTTTCTTTTTTTTTTTTGGGGGGGGGGGGGGGCTCAGATCATTAATACTAAAAAGATTAGACATTATTGGGATGCCTGGCTTGCTGCATCAGCATAAGCCTTATGCCCAATACTCTGAGCAATTCTTTGAACTTCTAGTAATTCATCGTCATCGCCAAGAGAATAATCTGTCTTTAATTTACTCGTTCTACAGAAATGAACAATTGTTTTATAGTCATCAAGAAGTTGAATCGAATAGACTTGAACCGTTCCAAGTTCTAAGTTCATACCCAGATAGGCCTACAATACAAAAAAGCTTAATCCAAATGTTTTAAGGTGAAAGGAACAACAAATATCAACGGTTTAGAAATTTGGTATGATGGCATTTTTTTAAAGAAATTTTATCAAGCCACAGAATAAAGTGATGTTAAATTATTTGAAATAAAAAAAAACTCAGTAATTGATGGACAAAAAACACTACAAGTACATTTCATTACAATTCAACACGAAAAGAAATTACAAGAAACTTGTAGCCAAAAAAAAGCTATGAGAAACTCTTCCACTGAGTTTGTGGATAGTTGACATATTGATCACAGTAAGAAGTGCTCCATTCACTAGCTCACACAGATTTGAGAGACTTTATGAGACATGGGGGGTTGAAGAAGAAGAATCAGTCGGATATAGCCATTTGAAAGTAACGATTGCAAGTGTAGACAGAGCAAATGGACTGCAAGATCATCAAAAGCAAGAGACAAATTGCAGCCAAAAACGTCAAGAACTGCCACGACCCAATTATATAACTCTTCATTAATTTCCAGGCTTTCACCTTCAATCTTCCATTATAATACTTGTTCACATCTTCAACCGCCTTATCCAGCACTGGCACTTTCGTCAGCTTTATGGACCTGCTCATCCCATTCCACAAGTGAGCCACTTCTGAGTCACTCTTCAAGTGGTTCAGGATCACCCCTGTTTCTCTCAGCACTTTAGCATCCTCATCAGAATCCACAATCCCATTCATTAATTCTGTGTATCGGGTCAAAACCAAGGGCCCAGATGCTACTGATGATTCATATGCAACTAAATTTCTCAAGAACACTTCGGTGTTGACGTCTAGGGCAACTTTTGGAAGGTGAAAAGTGCGTGTTTTTGAGTCAAATTTGATGCTGTTTATAGATCCATTGGTGGGTACGAAACGAACCCCAGAATTCATGAGTTCTGTAACAGAAGGGATTGTGATTTCCTCTATCAGTGGTGGCTTCTCAATGAGACTCTTTGAGGTTGCACTTCCATTTTCTGGCTTTCCTCCTTGTGTGAAGTTGAAGAAATATTGAACAGGTATTTTTATGAGTTTAATTCCAGGTAAGTTCGAGATTATCTTCCACAGTAACTTGACAAAGACTTTCAGGGGTCTAGAAAGCAACTCCTCCTTGATTAATTTCACAGGCCCTCTGTTTAGCTTTGAAAGAATCTTCCACACCTCTTTGAGGAATTTTTTCAAATAGCTTGAGTTCATGCTTGATTCCTCGTTATTTTCACCTCCTTTGGGATCAATATTGCCATCAATATGGATAACATGATCAGGCTGTTGATCTTTAATTTTGGGAACAATCATGTCGTAGAAGAAATCCAGCAAATGAGCGCACTCTGAGAGTTGAACATCTGGATAATCCTCCATCAGTTTGAAAGGACAAAGTTCATTAACCAATCCAGTTAAGATGAGAAACAGGACATTATCTGCATCATCGGGCGACGAGAATTTGAATTCCAGCATCTTCCTTAAAACACACAAAGGGATTTGATTCTCCATCATTACTATGTCCCTTAGAATTGCATTGTGGGCTGATTTCTTTCCCGCATAATCCACTAAGTGAGACATTCTGGAGGAAATTCCAGGAATTTTGTTTCCTTCTTGGATTGCATAAACTTGAAAGAACTCAAGCAAGAATGAGGCGTCAATGATCATCATCCACACCAACGTTTCGCCGTTGAAATCCAAGTACTTGTGGTAGCTTGCTCGAATCCTGTTGATGCATGGCAATATAGAAAATGATTAAACGAAAGAAAACAGAGTTCTCGAGTTAACGTTCAATTCAGGATTGCCAATTTCCAATAATATGGACGATGATTATAAACTTCAAGCAACTTCTAATTATGAAGATTTCATTATTTATCCCCGAAAGATGCATATTTTGATACTAAGTCAGTATTCATTTTTCTGTGCAAGCGAGTCCTTAGATATATGAGGGTTCTCATTTAGTATTCATCATAACCATAAACTCATCCTTATAATGTAATTTAAACTATTCAAAATCTTATATAAGTGGTTTATCTTTAAAATTCTTAATATGCAATTTTTTTAATGATAAATTTATTTTTTTAAAAATGTTAGTAAGATTATCATTATTTTAAATTCTAAATCTAGTAAAATAAAAAATTAACTTAAATATATTAAAAAATTTAAATTCAATCGTAACCATCCAAAATCAATCTCAAAGATCCAAATTAATTTCATATACATCACTGTGATAAGCATGGAATATGTTCCCACGTATATGAATATAGATGAATCAATGCATGCATGCTTCTTGAGCTTATTTTTCAGAGTAACATATGTGTGTGTGTGTATATGTCTATCATATTTTGGTTTAAGGAGATCTAAACAAAGTATAATAATTTAAAAACTAAAATAGACTAGTGATTGGAAAGAATAAATCCAAGAAATTAATAAAATGTCCATGCAACAAAATAATGGAATAAATAAAATGTCTTCCAAGACAAATTTGCGTGCAAAAAAAATTCCCAACTCCCAATGCTTCTACGTGAAAGCTTTTAAGATAAATTTATACTTTAAACCTGTAATAAAATGTGCTATTAGATGAACCTTAACTCAGAGCAAAAAAAAAAAAAAGTAATTAATGCCCTACTTGGTAGTTTATAATAACAAAGATCATTTATCCATATTATTAGAAACTAAACCAAGCAACTAAAAGGTAAAACATGTCTCTAGCTATTGCATTAAGTACCTGGGCTCCACCATGTTCAACTCATGTACGAGGTCTTCCAACTTATGATTCTGCAGATGTTTTCGGAACCTGACTGCAGCAGCAAGCTTGTACCTGTGCATCTCATAAAGCTCTGGTCGCCAATAATGGTATGGCCCTATGGCCACTTGTTGAGGCACGTACGAATCTGGGTCACAAATCTTGAGAAGCTTCGGTACGTTGAAGATGGACACAGCAGTGAGTTCACCTTCTCCCTCCAGCTCATCATTCTCTAGGGTTTTCTTTATCTCCATCACCCATCGCAGCTCATCGAAGCTTTCCCTGAAGTTCTTAGCTGATGAAACTGAAGAAGATCTTAACGAAGAAGAAGACATATTCCGCTACGACCAAGAAGAAGAAGAATCTGATGCAAGTACCAGGAGAATAATAATGAAGCAGTGCTTTAACTTGCTGGTCTCGGCAAGTATCAGAGTTATTTATAGTATTAAACAATGGGGAATGTTTTTGTCGTGCTTTTTTTTTTTTTGACCGGAATTTTTGTCGTGCTTTGAAGATAAAGTTATATGTCATTATATTGATAGGTAATAATTACCATTACGAGAATATATTATTATTGTCTCACATGGGTATAGGGATGACGATGACAGGTGAATAAATTAATTCTTAAACGTGGTTTGTTTATAATAATGATACTGCATTTGCTTCTAAATATAGAAATTAGATAATTAATTTGTAAATATATATTAGAAGAGTTATTTATATATGAAAAAAAAAATTGTGTATTGGTTTTTTAAAGTAGCCCCGTTTAATTGTTTGCATTAAAAATTACTTACTTAATGAAAAATTCTTTAATATATGTATGATTAACAGAGTTTAGGGGGAAGAAAATTATGAATCGAAAAACAAAGTGAAGTGATAAAGTCTTATATTTGATTTCAAGGCCAACTCTTCTGGTAATTATTACATTTAGGGTGGGAGATGGTAACATTTTTTTAAAGACTAAAGACAAGAAAGAAGTACATAATGTTACTGTTCCTTCTTTTCAGCTTTCATCATGTTTTTTGTTTGGTTTTGATGATTTAGGAATATCTTAGTATTTTCGTTGGCTTACCAAGAGACCCCACCATTTTTTAAAAGCTAGTGGTGCTGGGACCATATATATGTGAATGATACGAGTTGCTTATATTAATAAAACACAAATCTGTGGTAGTAGTTGATGAAGATAAGCATGACGAGAATTAGAAAGGTCCATTTTATCATACAACTTTACTTCCTCTGATTTCTCATATAATATGTAAATAACTGAATGATATACATAGATAAAACATGTAATTAATTAGGATTAGTTTGAGGTAATAAATATGTAAGAAAATATAACTTATTTTTGTTGGGAAAAAATATAAATTATTTTTCATCAAAAACATATATACTCTTATTTATGAAGGGAAATTGAGTATCTCTTTTATTCTTACAATAGGAGCTAGTTGAAAATGGAATTTAATTCTAAATATAAGGTGTCACTTTATTTTGGCTCACATGTTTATTATTTTTCTCCAAATTAATTTATTTATAAAGTGGTATATAGTCTAATGTTACATATGATTATCTTAGAAAAATTATATCACATTTGTTATAATAATCTAATTTATCTTACTTCCTTAATTTGGATATTAAGTAACTCATACCTATACACACACACACACACACACACATACATACATACATATATATATGGACAGCACTAAACATTTCAAACGCACTATTAATATTTCTTATAAATAAAACGAGGTCATCCTAGGAAAATTCTCTTACATGTACTCTATATAGAACCGGAGGGAATATTTAATCCTAGTAAATATGATTTAAGTAATTGTTTAAACTAATTGGATTAGATGTGGTCCTTTTTTTTTGACCACTTATAAAATTCAAAATTTTAATATAATTTAAAGGAAGTCTACCACTTCCACTCGGCTTTTTTCTTCCCGTTTACCTGCGTTCTACTCAACCTATTTTTTTTGGTTGTATCTTATTAACATGATTTAAAAAGAAAACGTGGTACATTATTGTTCAAAACTTCAAATTTGACGGTTCATAGTAATTGTTTGACCAAACAATAGTCATGATTATTTAGATTGGAAATGGAAGATAGTGATGGATGCTTTAATCATAATAAATTTAATCACATTAATAAATGATAATAAAGTTAGTTATTTGTAATAGATTAATAAATTTTATCAAGTTAGTTATTTGTAATAAATATATGTATGTCTTTCCTAAAATATCCATATTAATAATATCCATTACTTAGAGTTACTATTTAATGAAACTTTTAATACGTACGCGGCATCAAACATGTCCCTTTGACAAAGAATATACAGGTAAAATAATTAGCCACGAGGAAAGGGCTTGCTTATACTTTGTCAAAATTCTATGTATTTGCTTGGTGTCTCGGAAGTTTCGTGAGAATATGTGTTGGACGCTGTCATTGTTATTGCATCGACCAAGCCAATTTTACAATCTTCTTCTTTTGTATTTTCTTTTGGAATATAATATGTTTACTAGAATGAATTTACTGAATTTAATTTGCCAATAATGATTCTGACCCTATATAAGATGCTTAACATAAGATATGGATTTTATAATAAAATAAATATAAAAATGTTAACAGGCAGTATTAATATTATAACATCAACGTTAATTTTGAAGGTAAAACAAAATTGTTATGATTTTAAATTTTTGAAACAATATTAAACTTAAAAAAACTTTCGGAATACTTCGCTTCCCAGTAAAAACTTCTGAGATAAATTTATACCTAGCCTTAATATACAAATGCAAATCAAAGCACCATATATAATATCCATCATAGAATTAGAATACGCGCATTATATTGCAGGGTAACCCAACGTGCCAAAAAAATGCGTTTCCTAAAGAAACTAAAATCAAATTATTACACACATATATTCCTCGACCAAGTTAAGCTGGCCGGCGGCCATATTAGCAAACACTATTGCTTACATGATGAACACACACAGTGGTCATAAATTTATCCATATTTAATCTATAAAATCTAATAAATCATATTATTTATAAGTAATAAACTATAAATAGTATAGTGGAATTTTTATATTGGCAAAGCAATTAAACAAAGGAAAGTTAAGGAAACCGCGTGATTCATTCGACAAAGATGCATTTGTCGTTGGTATAATTGATATCCTTATTTGGTCGATTCTATTCTCACTTTTATATTCTTAAAATGATTTTGTGAAATAATATTCAAAATAAGTTTGGAAAAGAATTAGATTTTTTTTGGAACCATTATTTAAAAAATATATTTAAGGTGATGAAATAAAGAGCGAAAGAATAGTTTGCTTTATTAACATAATTACTATTACTGTTAAAGAAAATATAAGTTTTTGGTGTCTTCTTTAATTTTGTAGAAAAAAATGACAAAACATTAAAAAAGATGTTTTTTTTTTAGAACAATTTTTAACTTTTTTTATTTCTCTCTGTTTTTTTTTTTGCCAACAAACTTTTTTGTTCATCTAAACACTGATAAAAAAAAAATATAATCCCATCTTTAATTAGAATATTTTACTATCACATGGGCGTCATGTCAACATTTTAAAATATGCCAGTGTAACTTTCTAGTCAGCATGCTAATTATAAATAAAGTAGATCCTCGATGTAATGGATGAACTAGTGGTGTTTTAATCTATAAAATTTGTAACACATGTTGCTTATATAAGAATGCATCATTTACTTTCACAGACCAACAAAGCTTTCGTGGTAAGACAATGATTACTTGGTTAGTGTCAAATCATGATAGGTGGGGGGAAAAAAAAACCTTGGGATGATAAAGCAAGAAGCTCCCTCAACCCCCTATACATATAATGCCTCTCGTCTCTGATAGAAGTAAAAAAGATAACCAATTAAAAATATTAAAAAAAATTAGTTAAATTAGTTATTTATAAATGTGTATTAATCTTTCTAAACTACGATTATTTTCTTTAATCATATGTAGTAGATGATTAGAATTATTTTTTAGTGAAAACTATTTACAATCAATAAGGATATTTTGGGAAAAGATAAGAGGCAAAGAGTATTGAGATCTTATATTTAAAACCAAATTTAATTTTTTACCACACTCTTATATTAATGACTGAAAATAATATTATTTTATACAATTAAACATATACACATGTGATAAGAGCCTTTGACATCCATCTTAGAGTTCTTAATCTAAAATAAATTTAAAACAATGCAATATATCAGGACCCAGGTTGTTCACTTTGATGAGCCTTTATTTAGAATCCTAAGCTAACTAAAAGGGTGTTTGGCAAATTAGGTAAAAGTGTTTTTGGTGCCTAAACCATAGTTTGAGTCCAAAACCATCCAAACACTCTAATATTTTCAAAAACCATAGTTTGGGATGAAACATGGTTTCAGCTTTTAAAAGCATGGTTTTATAAAAAAAACAAAAATATTTTGCTTCTGAGACTTAAATTGTGTTCGTTGGTGTAATTATTATGAGTGAGCATTGGCATCTAGACAAGAATGCCCCTCTATTGAAATCAAATCCTTACTTTTTTTCCCCATTTCTCCTTGCTCGTTCAACAGACACTGTCCCTGGTGGTGCGATTTGTGTCCTCGACTTGCAAGAAAAGGCACTGGTGAGGTGTTTGTCGACTTGAAAGATCAAGATCACACATTGGGTTGTCCGATCCATCCATCATTGGTGTGCAATCTACATTCTTCACTTTGTCTGATCATTCCTAAGTGAGGTGGAGGTGCTCAGATCCATCACACAGGTAACATCTCACCTCTTGAACAATCATTTTCTTCACTCATGCATTGCATCGATTGGATTTTGTGTAAATATAGTCTGCTCTGTAAAATGGGTAGTCTATTTTAAATGTGTTGTTAGTCTCGCTTGTGAGCTCACAGGGAGGATTAAAAGTTTTGATCTTGACCGTGATGGATACTTGACAAACAAAGCCTTTGATATTGTTTACAATTTTATGATATTATATTGCATCAGATTTATGAATGGTGATTATCAACAGGGAAAAACATTTATGAATTGCAAGTGTTTGGGCTATCGATGTGCAAGAATTTTATTTTTATAAAAGCCTATACATTCTGCTGTGTACCTTGACATTATTTTCATTCGAAAAACATTGACCACACTGTCTGAACAATATGTTCCGAATATATTAATTATAAAATGCTAAGATGGTGAATTCTAAATGTTCACTATGAGATATATATCTATAATGGAAAATGTATAAAAACCTAGACTACAATCATATTTTGCTTTAACTCTGGTTAAATATACATCTTATATTAATTGAATTCTATATTTGTGATGTACAAG